TGCCATAGAAAAATGTTTATGATCTTTCTCAATCGCCTGTCGTCTCTGTTAATCTAAACAAAAACTCCGAAAGCGAAAGCGGAAGTGGCTTGAAAATTAATTACCTTTCACATCTGGTGAATGCTATTTCTGTCAACGAGATTGATTTATCGCACATTTCGAATGCAGAACATAAAGAAAGACAGTAATTTAATTAATTAATACCAGCCTTGGAAAAATAGACAATCTGACTTCAAGATGCAAATAAATTTATGGAATGAAATTTCTGTCTGTCAAAATAGAAGATACATGTCTTTCGCGGAACAAAAAATTGTTGACGATCAAATTAAGGAATGGCTGAAAGAAAAAATAATAAAACCTAGCAACTCTAACTATGCAGCACCTATTGTTTTGTGTAACAAGCGTGATAATTCTAAAAGATTATGCATTCGACTATCGGAAATTAAATAAGATTATTAAAGACAAATTTCCACTGCCTTTAATTCCGGAAATACTTGATCGTTTAGAACAGTCAAAGGTCTTCACGACACTAAATTTGAAAAATGGCTTTTTTCATGTAGACATAGATGAAAATTGCACCAAATATACCGCTTTTGTAACGCATAATGGTATTTACGAATTTCTTAAAGCTCCTTTTGGTTTATGTATTAGTCCAAAACTATTTATGTAATGTTTTTCAAAGGTATATTTATTCAGTATTTCGTGACTTGTTAAATGAAGGTGTACTAATTATTTATATGGATGATATAGTCATACCAGCTAATGATGAAGATGAATGTTTAGACAAATTAGAAAGAGTATTCAAAACTGCTTCGGAATATGGATTACAAATAAATTTCAAAAAGTGCCAATTCTTAAAGCGTAAAATTGAATTTTTGGGACATATAATTGAAAACGGAACTATTCGACCATCACCTTCCAAAACTGTTGCTGTTTGAAACTTTCCACAACCGCGTAACTGTAAACAACTACTAAGCTTTTTAGAACTAACAGGTTATTTTCGTAAATTCATTCCTCATTATGCTAAAATAGCTAAACCTCTTAGTGACTTGCTTAGAAAAGGTATTGGTTTTAAGTTTGATTCCGAACAACAGGAAGCATTTTGCAGATTAAAAGAAATTCTCTCTCAAGCACCTGTTCTACACATATTTAAGCAAGGATATCCATTACAACTTCATACTGATGCTAGTAGTCAAGGCTTTGGTGCGGTATTACTCCAATTGTCTGATGATGGTAATTATCACCCAATCCAGTATATGAGTAAAAAGACTTCACCGCAGCAAGAGAAACTCTGTAGTTACGAATTAGAAGCCCTTGCAGTTAGAAGAGCTCTGAAGAAGTTTGAAACTATTTGTTAGGGACTAAATTCAAAATTGTTACTGATTGTAGTGCTTTTCAGAAAACTTTAGATAAGAAAGATTTAACTCCCAAATTTGCGAGATGGGCAATGTTTATTGAAGAATTCGATTACGAAATTGTACATCGTTCAGGAAGGCAAATGAAACATGCTGATGCTCTAAGTAGAAATGCTTTAATTTTAACATCATACACATCCGATGTAACTGAGAAGATTCGGTTAGCACAACAACAGAATGAAGATGAACATGTGAAGTTGATAAAGAATTTAGTTGAGAAGGGAGAAGAAAATTGATTGTTCCTGAGAAATGATATTCTGTACAAATTTGAAAATGGTAAAGATCTGCTAGTAGTGCCAGAATCCTTACAGAACGAAATCATACAGAAGGTACATAAAAAAGGTCACTTTGCTGTAGAGAAAACTGCGAATGCTGTAGAGCAAGAATTCTATATTCCCAGACTGAAATGTAAAGTTGAAAAAGTAATTGCTAACTGTATAGAATGTATACTGTACAACAAGAAGCAAGGAAAAGCAGAAGGATTTCTTCATCCTGTACCAAAAGAAAACGTTCCCTTGAGTACGTACCATGTCGACTTCATTGGACCTCTTCTATCGACGAACAGGAGATACCAACACATTCTAACTGTGGTCGATGCTTTTACGAAATTTACTTGGTTCTATCTAGTGAAATCACCAACTACACAAGAAGTTATTTCAAAATTGAAGCAACAACAGACGGTATTTGGAAATCCGGCCAGAATCATTTCAGATCGAGGTAGTGCCTTTACATCGAAAGAATTTTCAGCTTATTGTACAGAAGAAGGCATAGAACATGTCAAAATTACTACCGGTATTCCAAGAGGTAACAGACAGATTGAGCGAATCCATAGAATTTTCATTCCTGTTTTGTCGAAATTATCATATGAGGATTCAACGAAATGGTTTAAGTTCGTTCCAGATGTACAGAGAATAATCAACAGCACAACTACGAGAAGTACAAAATATTCACCGTTTGAGCTTCTCCTAGGCACAAAAATGAAGAACAAGGAAGATCTAGGAATTAGTGAGATATTGAATGAAGAATATATAAAGCAGTTGATGCAAGAACGTGATGAAATGAGAGAAGATGCGAAAAACAACATTTTGAGAATACAAGAAGAGAATCGTAAGCAATTTAACAAAAGACGTAAGAAACCGAAACTGTACAAGATTGGCGACGTGGTAGCCATTCAGAGAACTCAGTATGGGACTGATTTGAAACTATGACTTAAGTTTCATGGACCATATAAAATCATAGCTGTTAGACCAAGTGACAGATATGAAGTCGAAAAAGTAGGATGCCATGAAGGACCGAATTTGACATCTACTGCGGCTGACCATATGAGGCCATGGTCAAATTGATTTGATGTTTGTATCAGCTCAAAACCTAAGGACCTGATACTCTCTTTTCTTTTCTTTTTTTTTTTTTTTTTTCATTCTCTTTGCAGGTATATGATAGTGATGTCCACTCAACAGACATCGTGGACGATGCCCCTTCAGGCTGGCCAAAGCTGTGGAGACCATCGACGACCGATGCTGAATTAGAATACCAGCATCATGACGTCATTCCAGCACAGCGCAGTGCGGAACATTCCAGACAGCGTCCAGACGTGGACGAGAGTAGGAGATGTGAGCAGACGGCTCGCTGGTCTTCAAGAGTTAAAGAAGACAAACGGTCTTCTTTGGTCTTTTTGTGTGTTAACTGCCTTTAGCTGCTTATACTATTTAAAGCTAGCCGTGTACTAACGTATTCTATCAACGCCGGAGGAACTAATAGTGTCTGTGCATCATTACATGAATCCTGCAACAATTATTTTTACTTAACCTTTATTACTTTTATCTATTTCTTATTATTAAAATAAAAGCATTTAAAAATGCAATATTCGTGCTCTCTGTTTTGAAAGTAAATCCTACATATATATGTAATATTTTGGCAGTCAGGCACATAAGTGAAGCTTGGCAATGAAATGACGACACAGCAGGATTTAAATTTTCAGCTCCATATCTTTATTCAAGTCAAAAGGTATATTATTACTCTTTACTAAATAAGATTGAATTCAATGCATCATAGTATTCTAACAAAGGAAAGTTACTAAGTAGCAACACAGACCTTAGTAGCAAAGGGAGAAAGCGGTCTCTCTCTGATGCAAAATGTTTGAACAGTTTAATAGAAGTTTTCTATTTATAGAAGCGGTTATGTAATAGGTAATAGGCTGGCATGTTCTGGAAAGTAGTGGTCTAGGGTGAAGATCCTGAAATTGTGGAAAGTTAATTAAAGGTTGCTAGTTTGCATAGAGCAAAGCCGTCCTATATTTTATATTTTACATATATATATTCATTAATAACAATTGATTCAAACATGTTTGTTTTATGCAATTGTTTATTTTTTACTATTTTTATTTCATATGATATGAACAGTAAAAATTCTTTCTAAATAAGCAGAGTAAGTCTTTTCTAAGAAAATTCTTAAATTAGTGTCTGAAAATATATTTGATACTAACATTTATCTTCACATAATTTAGAATAATAGTAGAATTATAGTTTTGAACACATTTTCTGTGCATTTTAATTTATTTACTATTTATTTCATAATTATAGCTTAGCATATTCATTAATTGATTTGATTGTATTAATTATTAACTGAACAATTTGAATTTGAACATATATTTGCTATTACTTCAATAAAATCAATTTGACGATTTTACAGATTTAATATTTGATTTACAAACATAATAATCATTAGACTGAAATGAACTGTTAACAGAGTTCAGATGGGGAATATTGTTTTGATTTGGATAAATGGTGCTATTACACACTAGACATGACCTGTTTTTTCTCCCTTCCCAAGATTCCTCACTGTATTCCTCTTCATAGTTAGTTTGATTTTAGATTTCAACTGAACAGGAGCAATTAAGTTGCTCTTAATTGCTCTGATTTCTTTGATTGTTACAATGTTTTGATTCAGTTCAATTATTTCCATGGCTGAGCCACCTTATGATGGTAGTTAAGAATTCTGTAAAATGTAAGTATTAAACTTCTTCGCTTTAATAATTCAATGCTGAACTTTGTAACTTCCTGAACAAGTAATTTTCCGAGATGAGGAAAAAATAGGACATGAAATTCTGGAAGGTGGTATTGATAAACAATCTGTAAATATCTTTTTGAAAGTTGCTTCTGTAATATTGAATTATAGAAAGTTTTATTGAAAATTTTCTGTTAGTTGTTTTCAAAATAAGAAAGTACAGTAATCAAAACAAATTTTACAGTATGACATAATGCTGCCATCAGCTAAATCTATAAAAAGCAGTCTATAAATATAAAGAATATCTACAAATTATTTTTACTACACTAATAAATGGTTAAAGCACATAAACAGAACTCTCTATTCAAAATTCCTCTCAAATTATTTAAAGAAATATTGTAGTTTAAATTTTCACTATTTATCATGTGTACTTTATAAGAGTTTAAATGGCAGATATATTACATAATAAGTATTTTATAAATAATACTAAACTCATACATATTATAAAACTTAATTAAAATAGAACAAAGAAAAGCAAGAAATTTTTAAAAGAAAAACAGAAGACAGCAAAATAATACTTACAAACCATTTCACATTTAGCCTAAAAAAGCTAATAAACAATAAAAGAAACCATACTACAGGTGTAAGGACAAGAGCTAACCAAAACACCTGTGCTTCGGCTGAATCTGTAACAGCTGCATCTTCTCCCTGAACATAAGGAAAACAGCATATTTTAGCAGTTAAAAAAGCAAAAATTTTATCTCATAAAACTACTAATAATGTAAACAATAATTAATAGATTGTACCTAAGATAACACAGAATTCCAAAGGAATCATTTACTCTCATAAAAATGTAATTATGCAATATGCACAATTAATCATCTGTGCATAATTCTTCTTACAATGCTTAACAAAATCAAGTAAAACATGTGTAAAACAAAGTGAATGAAAGCTAAAACCATAATGAATAATGAAAATATTTAAAAAAAGGAGCAACAGAAAGCGCATACTGGCACTTCATAACACACAGCTTACTCAAATCAGTTAAAAGGTACTGTAAATTTGAATGACTTGGCAGAGTGCACAAGAATTCTATAAGAATGTTTTACATTTCTTCACTCACTAAAAAGGAAAGTAAAAGAGTTTAAGAAAATGAATGGAGGATAGCATCATAACAAAATTAGAATTTAATAAACATTGTGTGCCACTTTGAAAATTTGGTTTTACAAGAATTGTTTGTAATTAAATATGTTTAGATGTACTGAATTGATTGTGATACAATTCTAAAATTGAAGAGGTTATGCTGAGATATTGAAAAGTGACCAAATAACATATGTACAGTGGAATATCAAATCACAAATACTTTTCATCATAAACAATTTAGTTCATAAACAAACAATACTTTATTTTCAAATATGTCTTGAGGCAAACTACGTTGAAGAATTAACACTCAGTAATTTCCTGAAACATCATTTTAATATTTTCCGTTGCTTGATTTTTCTCATTAACAAAGCCAGCAGAAAGTGACTGACATGTATTTGGCCTGGAGGAAATTATGGCCAAACTATGTTGAGGGTTTGACATACAGGACCTTTCTTCTTACTTATGATATTTCATCTCTAGGTTTAGAAGTTAACAATGAACATGTGGCAGAGTTACAAGAAGATCACAAAATGAGATCAACAACTGAACTGAAAAAACTACAACTTCAAAAGTAGCAACAAAAGGCGATTCAAGGAAATACCTTTAGAAGAAGAAGACCAGAAAAAAAAGATGATCCTAGTTTTTTGACACAGGAAATTTTTGCAAAATGGGACAAAGTTTCTACACAATGACACTACCTTGATAAAGCAAATTAAGAGATAGTGCTACCTTCTCATTCACTTTAATCCTGTTACGTATAAATACAACCAAGGCCTTCTCTTCATTACATTTTAAACAACTCAGTGCAGATAAACCAACTTCATCTTAAGATTATGCACCTAAAAATACCATTCATAAATAATTTGACGTTGATATTGTACTCATAACTGAAACTCGTGCTCAGTGCTCAGCAGTCTCATAGGCTAAAAATCCCAAATTACAGGCTATTATTTATGCAAAATGCAACATTCCTTCCTGCCTTTTATAAAGAAGAATTATGTAGCGAAGAGATGTTTCAGCTGGGTACCAGGAATGGTGCTTTTTTTTTTTTTTTTTAACTCTAAGAATCTTAAAGTTACCTTTTTTACTAATTGCCCACTCTATTTTAATAGTAGTATGGCCAAATCAAACCAATATAAAGCAAATATATTTGCCTCACATCTTGAATATCAATTTTATCCAAATGAATGACCAATCGACACATACTTTGAATTACACATACTTTTGCATGTCTGTGATTGGTTCAACACACCCTCTACAAGTAATTCAACTAATCTGACTAATACAGCTGAAGTTTTGCAGTTTATCAAAAAACCTGCAACCCAAGAAAAGTGGCAGATGTTGATAGCATTATGAACACTGCTATTAAAAAACTTCCTAGACGCAAAGTGCGTAATATCACCAGTATTCTTAAAGCATGTATTTTCCACTCTTATTTTAAATAGTGGAAAGTCGAAAGAATCATGTTCCTCCTGAAACAAAGAAAGGATCATAAGCAGCAGGATGGTTTACTATTTATGTTGGGTAAAAATTTATAAAAAAATTCTTCTGAAGCATATGTATTCCTAGTTAGCTCTGCGTCCACCAGAACAATTTAAATTCCATGCGCACTTCTCAACTACTAAGCAGCTATTATGTATAATGGAATTTTCTGGCTCGGCACTTCATAAATTAATTATCGCTATCCTCATGCTAGATGTGGTGAAAGCTTTCAACCGCATCTGGCATGAGGGTCTCATCACCAAATTAATTGTAACTCTGCAAGAGAACTATTGCTCACCATTCATTCCTTCACTAGACAGGGCATTTAAAGTTTGTGTTAATGAACCCTACTTCATTGAACAAACTTTGTAAAGTGGTATTCAATTTCCATTTTAAGATACATCCTTCACTTGTTTTATGTTATACAGATGATACCACCTTGGCAGTAAAGTCTGCTAATGTGAATCATGCAGTCAAAACCTCACACTGAAGACTGGTATGCAAAATGGAAAGTGGAAATTAATGTTACCAAATCTCAACTGCTAATCATCTGCAAATATATATGAAAAATTAACATCAAAGAATTACTATTCCTATTTAAAGAACCAATCCCTATTGTCTACCTATTTGGGGGTCATCATTAATGACAGACATACCTGGACTCATCACACTGATCACATAAGAGAGAAGGCATTAAAAGTGATTAAATGTCTATTCCCGGTTATTGGGAAATATTCAAAACTCGACCTAGCCAAGAAAAGAATGATTTATTTAAATACCATCAGACCGATAATGATATATGCTTCTCCTGCGTGGGCAGCAGCAATGAAAATAGAAATGAACAAACCCCAAGTAGTGCAAAACAGGTATTTACGTATTATTATGAATGTCCACAGCTTCACGAGAAACAAATGTCTTCATAATGATTTAAAAATCAAACCATTAGAAAAATATCTTCATAAATTCGATGATCAATACTTTAAGAATGCCCAGGACTGTGATTTGATGAACTAACACAGTGTGTTTCACTACGAATTTTTAATATTTTTACAGTATAATTTTTAATATTTTTACAGTATAATTACAGTATAACGAATTTTTAATATTTTTACAGTATAGTTTTTAATATTTTTACAGAAATGCTATTTTAATTGCAACTTTTGATTTTCTGTTTTGCAGCAAAGTCAAGCAGCACCCTCAGAGTCAATACTTGCACAGGACCTCCCATGTTACCTGGTCCCATAACACTGTTAAACATATGTCATATGTAGGACTTTTCTATGCCATTTCTACTCTGTATATAGATGTAAATATTTTGTATAGAGCTTTATGGACTTATTTTGCATTATGTATTATTATTTTTAATTTTCTTATGTAGTTTATTTTGTAATTTTCAAGACTTTTCAGCTTTCATTACTAGAATCTACTCGATCAATGAGTTGTCTTCCTGAAACTCATGTGACAAGTGATCAAGCTCCTTCTCAACAGCCATCCTGTCCTCCCGGACTTATTCAGCAGCATTTCTTTATCTCAGCAGTCTTGGAGCACCCACATCAAGATAGCCGATATACAATTTGCAAATATGCAAGCTAGACACAGCACTCAGTGGAAAATGGAACAACTTTCATTTCAGAATTCTTTGCTCCTGATGAAAAGGAAATTGTAACTGCTTGCCTTCAAAATTGATAGTCTTGACTAAAATCAATGCCAAACATAAGGTTGTAGCTTTGCTAATTTTATGTTTTACTTTGTCGTATTTCTCTTTTATCTTTATTAATGATATAATTTTTCATAAAACATAAGATTTGTTAATATGCAAATTGCATAAAACTTAGACAGAATCACACATAAAATTCAGATAGAATGACAATTATAAATAGTAATTAGAGCTTACCTTTCTTGATTCAAATACCCAATGACTTTTGCCTTCATCATCTACATAATTCCACCACCGCAAGCCAACTAGAAGCCTTCCAGTTACATTTTTTACAGTCCAAAAATCAAGAGACAGAAAAATAAGAATTGTAACAAAACATGATATGAAACTGTTGCTGAACCATCCACACATCAAATAAACCAAAATAGCCAGTGCTCGGAATGTTAAGTGGAATAATACTGCTACAGGATGCCTAAATGTCGAAAAATAAACTACATTACAAATAAGAAAAAGGACTACTTTAAAATAATTATTAACATTCCTAACTCATATGAGACTGATATGATTGAAACAATGATTATAGTTTGCTATAGCATTCGTAACAGTCCTATACATATCAAATTTTATGAAAAGCTTTTCAACTGCTCTACTTAAAACTCCTTTTTTGGTCATGTTTACCTAATTAAAATCCGTAATCACGACTTAAAATAATTTTAAAACTTCTGTAGCCCAAAAAAAATTCTGGTTGCCAGTCCCTTGTCCTCATCCTCAAAAAATAAATACCTACTTCAAATTTAATAGAGTAGATGAACTCTATGAAATCTAAAAATGGCTTGTTCTGCTTTGCAGTTGAATACGCTTAGTTAAATAGTTTTTCTATGTGCTGAAATAGTCTTTCATCTATTATTTTTTTGCACACTGCTAATGGTGAAGACTCTGGAGCTTCAACAACTATACCTTTCAACAAGCAACCTTTGTGCAGTTGTGATCGATTGAGTAACCTGCATGTTTCTAATTTGAATGGCCCACTGAAATCTTGCACAACTTGCAAATGTTTATGTACTATTTAAAGATACTTTGCATACACTCTGCACTATGATAACCACTGAAATTCACTGCTTTCAGAATTCCCTTTTGCTTTCTCCCTTTTTAGCAATATCACAACTGATAGCAGTATCACTTCCTTTACATTCACTTAGCACAATCTATTCAGAATGATCACAGCCACATTGTATAGAAGATTCTGAAAAATCCACTTCATAGAAAAATAAAAAGATACTTTTATGATTTCTTGATACCATGACCACTGGGAAGGGGGAAGGGATTTGTGTGAATTCACTGGTGCTCCGGTTTGAATAGACACTTTTTTCTGTCTCTGAATGGCAATGTGAAAATCAGAAGAAGCAGAACGTTAGGTGGCAACAGTCTGAACATTAGAACTGGCTTTCGATTTGTTCGATGCAGCTTGAATGCTGCTGATGGGATGTTAAATAGATTCTAGATTAGAATAATTTGTTTGTTATTCTAATAAATTTTCTTTTAAACTAGAATGAATATTGAAGCTGACTACAGCTAAAGCACACATGTAGAAATCTAGATGTGGCGTTTAGTTTTATTGCAGAACTTTGTAAGATGTGCTGAACCATTACTGTCTATTGAACAACTAGCAAACATGTTTAATCACAACTCAAACAGCGGAGTACCACATGGCATGCTAGTCACAACAATCATATTGAAAGCATCATACAGGTATACATTTCCACATTAGTTTCATGCAGCAAAATAAACAATTGTAATTTCAATAAATGGCTACTGCAAAATTTGGTAAGATACTTTTGAAGTTCATGAAATACTTCACAAACATATGTAATCAGCATGCAACAATGGAACGTGGACAGCAAAATGACCTTTTTTTGTTTACGTTTCCAACAATTCCCTACACTACAAGCGACAATTAAAATGCCTCTTGAAAATCTCATGGCAAAGCTTCAACTGCAAACCAATTGCTTAAGCATTTTATGAGGCCAGGAACCATAAATCATGTAATGTAGAAATCTATTTTATATTCGGAATCATAAGCATGGCCTGATTATAAACAGAACATTGCCTGTTACAAAAAATAAAAAAATAAAAAAATTTACGGAAATATTAACCAGACATTTCAAAGGTTATCACATCTCACTCACCAATTGCAATTTCTTAGTCGCCAATGGTCAGCTGGCAACTGTTTCCTTGAGCTCCTACCAATTGTTTATGCCAGGGGTCACCAAACTACAGCCTGAGAGTCAAATATGGCCCACTGCCTGTTTTAATCTGGTCCATGGCTTAATATCACTTTTTAAATGAAAAAAATCGAAGTAAATTAAATTATGCACTCAACTGCTGATAGTCGAGTTGAAAAACTCTGAATAATGACTGCAGGTTGAACCAAGTAAATAAAACTGAAAATGTTACTTACTTGGGAATCACTTTGGATTCCATACTGAGCTACAGCAGATATTATATGGCACAGAAGAATGGTACATCCAGAAATAAATTATTAGAGAAGTTAGCAGGGGCAATGGAGTGTTTCTTAAGACTTGGTTTGTACTATTTTTAAGACCTACATCAGACCTGCTAATGAATACAGAGCTGAGCTACTGGTCTAAAACAACTTGGAAAAAAATTGGAACTAGTTCAAAACAATGCTTTAGAATAATTACAGGCAGTGCTCACTCCAAAGCAATTGAAGCCCTGCAACAACAGACTTGTTTAGAACCACAGACTGAATGTAGGAAAAGATTATTTTGAAACTAATGAAAAACTCCAGAGATATGATTGCTTTCCATTAGCCTGGTATTCATATCTGGCACTCTGATTAGCTAGACAAGTTATATTACAGATGTATTAAGACCTGAGGTTCTCCCTTATCTTCAAAAGTATTCTAGAGCTGTCCATTAATGTGTTTGTGTGATTATGGCAAAACCTCGAGGGCTATCTGCCGAAGGGAAGGAATGCCTTCATGGAGGACTTTCACGTTACACATGGGGAAAACCACGAAAACGCCCATGCAGCCAGCCCATTTGCGGGATTCGAACCTTGGATTGAACTACCAGTGTTCAGCGATTTTATCGCTCGGCCGCTGGCTATCTATTAATGTGACAATATGCAACAATACATTGCACTCAAGGTCTGATACCCATTTAATACACTGCAGATTAAGATTCTGCCTTTGCATGCATTTTCAGCTGATCTTTCCCCAACAGAACATACTTGATCTATAGTGTCACAAACACAAAAATGACACAAATGACTACAACAGTTAAATGCTGTCAATAAATTACAGGTGCCCGGACTGCAGTATCTCAAAATGTCATCCAAACTGTCCTCAACTTCATAAATCATTAACCACTTGTGCTACGACTAAACTTCACAGTTGCGGTGCCATGTGCTACAATATAACAAGCAATAAAGTGTCTCATTTAAGACACTCTGCGTCTGCGAGTGCAATCCAGAGCTGTAACTCGAGAAATAAACAATCTCATTGTTAGGCGACGTGTGCACCACGTTATTTTCATTTTTGCGATAAATGCCTATCGACGTGATGTTCACGTCGCTTGCGGTTTGAGACAAAAGCATCTCGACGTGCGTGGCATGTCTTTTTAGCGCAAGTGGTTAAAAATAGACATCAAGTAAGCACTTACAGATTATGACGAACATCACTACTTCCATCAAATATATCATGTCATATTCAAAAAATTCACAAAGTTAGTACAAATTACAAAATAAGATGTAATCACAGAATCTGAATAAAGTTTTATTCAAGTGATAACAACTCAATTTTTTAAAATAAATTCAGAAAAAAAAATCTCATCATGGCTCAAAACAAACTTTTTAAGTACCTTCATAATTTGATAACTCTAGATCAATTTTAATTGGTCATTTTTGCTATAGAGCATTACTTGAGAAAAACAGAATTGATTAAAAGAAAAAAATATTCTGCAATACAAACTTTTTGGGAATATGATTCACATCATCTGAAAAATGGAGTGCTACATCATCAGGGCCCCCCATCATTCATCTAGAAAAAAAAAGATACCAGTAAACTTTAACATATTTTTAAAAAAGAAATGGCCAAAACAAATTTTAATAAATTTTAATAAAAGAGCTGATTTAGTAAAAAGATAAAATTCAGCTCTTAATAAAACTGCAACAAAATGAAGAAATACACTAATTTTCAATAAAGAAACCAGTATTATATTTTGACTGCTACAGAATTTTGATAATAATAATTTCTGATACTTTGTCATTAACCATTCTCAACAATGTCACCAAACAGCACAATTTATTGCCAATAATGGATGTGAAGTCACAACACAGTGAAAGGAATTTTGCTTTGGTCTTATGTAACCCTAAACTCGAGTAAGCCATATTGGGTTTTGTAAGGAAGTTAAAAATTAACTAATATTTCCTTTTTGGTACTTCTTTGTTATAGCAGCCCCCAACAATATTTGGCAATTTTAGATTTGCATCAGGATCCCTACTATATTTTCACCAAGCTTGCAAAAAGCACAAATTTTAAAATATATATAAATACAATCAAAACTAATAAAATTACATTATGCCCAAGAAGGCTTTTTTTTTTTTTTTTTTTTTTTTTTTTTTTTTTTTTTTTTTAAGTTTTGTGTGTTACCTTTATTTGTTAAATATCATGTTCGTGTTTAAACCAAAAAAATTCAATTCAACAGCAATATTGCAAAATAATTTTAAAACGAGCATATCTTTAGAATTTCCAATATACAGTCTCGGGAATTTTTTTCGTACAGTGTTGCCATTCTTAGCTTTGAAATCCTTGAGTTTGTAAATAAAAAAATTCTTTAATGTCTGACAAAATATGAAATAGATAATAAAACAAATTCCAAATTAGGGCTTCCAGATGCCCATATTCAGTGGAGGATTAAATTTGATGGCTCTAGGTTCTGTTGTTTTTATCACAATGCGAAAAACATACATTTATACAGATTCTTCATTATTTAATTTCTTTAAATATAATACAGGGCTGTAATATTTGGTGGCAACAGTTTAAAAAGTGAATCAATGCAGAAAGTAAATCAACACAAAATGTCAAAATTAAATTAGTAGCATTTCTGGACTAATGCTCTTTGGGCTAATAATAACAATACTCATATGCCATTTCCTAAAATCATTTTTAAGACTCCTTATCCTTATTATTATTATTTTATTGCATGTAACTGTTCCAGTGAACTGCAGCACTTTCACATATATTAAGCTGTTTGTTATATCATTTCATGCACGTCAACTCCTCTTCCCAAGAATACATAAATATAATAGCAGTGATGAATGATATTCTGGAACAGGGACTCAATTTTCAACACGGAGGCCCTTCTTTTGCAATTTTTAACACTGCACTTCCAAATGGTTTCATCATCAGCATAAAGTTTCATGTTGTGGCCATTATTGCATACTTGTTTGCCAGATAAAAGTTTCTTTAATGATATGGCATCTACTTCATTACTTGGTGAATTAAAGATTGTTAAAGTCATATTCACACACACATAAAAAAGAAAAAAAAAAAAAAAGCAACGACTATATTTTTAAATGAGCAATGTGAATTAGAAAACCTCATCAAAAATGAATAATATAAGAATACACAGCAAGAGCAAAAATGTAACACAGTGCCAACATACAATTACATGACAAGGTATACGAACATGCAGCCCGTGCTAATATACGATCCTGTGGCAAGGAATAACAACACACAGCTAGATTTTGCTGAGGTATCTTAGTTGATTGGCAATTCAATCTTAGGACCACTAAAATAAAGAAGTACCTTCTTTTTTTTGGGGGGGGTGGGACTAAAATTTGGGACGACTTCTACAGAACAAGTAGCAGTGAGGTAGAGCAAAAGCTTGACTATCCTGAGAGCTCCAGATAATTGGATATCAAAGCTGACATATTTCATAGGCCTTAAACAGGAAAGTAAAACATCTGATCAGATTATGAAATAATGCCAAACGTGAAAGTTAGCAGAGATATTGTCAATCATTCTGGCAAAAGTTTAAACAATCACATCATTTTAGAATCATCATCAGGAGTTTAATTAAATAAGTAGATCATTATTTATTTAGTTAGATAATAAAGAAATATAAATTACATATGTAGCAAGTAAAAAAATTAAATCACATAAATTTTTACATTACACTGCCATCGTTCATGCATTTTCAGAGTAGCATATGGTGGCTTTTGTTGATGCCCAGATACCATAGTTTTAAAAATACTTCATGACATCTAAAATATTAATTTTTGCAAAACGAAAAGAAAAAATAGAACTTATATCTATCCTTACAAAAATTAAATTGGCTAATCAAGAATTAATTGAATTTACATTAAGCAAAAATAAACTCTTATGATGTGTATCATGATCTCATGCTTATATATTACTTGTACTAAATCACACTGTTTGGCAACAATGTGTACATATTAATAGTATTACAAGCTCTACACTGAAGAGCCACTACATCATGACCACCCAGTTAATAGCATGTAGGACCACCTCTAGTACCTGGAACTGACAGCAGCTGGTGCAACATTGACTCCACAAGGTACTGATTGATACACAGCCTGAGGTATCTGGTACCAAGCACTCACCAATTGGTCCTGCGATTCCCGCACATTGCGAAGGGGTAGCATGGCAGCACGAATTTGGTTTCTAGTTGGAACCACAAATGCTCTATTGGATTAATGTCAGGTGAATTTGGAGGCCAAGACATGACTTAAAAATCCCTGGAATGTTCCTCGAACTACTCCCTGCTGGCAAACACTATCCCCTGCCGGAAATACTGTTGTCATGAATGGGTTTACCTGGTCTGCAATGTAGCGCACAGACATCAGGGACTGCTCAATGGAGATTATGGGTCAGAATGTGCTCCATGAAAAACATAGCCATAACACCTCCCCCAAACACACACTGGATTGTCTCCGTCCAACTCTAAATCTGGGAGCCAGGGTTTCGTTTGGAAATCAGCGTATTAGCACATGCCCGTTAATGTAATGGACCAGAAAACATAATTCATCGGATCATGCAACTTTCTGCCATTCTTCTAATGTCTAATTCTGATGTTTCTTGGCCCATTACAGACGCAGCTGGTGATGACATGCCATCAGTGCAGGGACATGCTTCGGCATCCGTCTGTGTAGGCCCATACGCAGCAATAAACGCAAGAACAGTGTGTTGAGAAACACTGCCTGGGTCGCCACTGTTGTAGCTGGTGGGTGTTTTGGGCTGTTGTAGCTTTTCATCATGGTGAACAATGTGTAGCAATCTCCACTCACTGCAATCAATCCGCGATCGACGACACACAGCTGGGCAACGACTTGCTGTTTCACCATCCATACACCACTTTCAATATGTGCTCATAACAACTGAACGTAAAACAGCCCATGAAACACGCCGTTTCTGACACTGATGTTCCCAGTTGCTGAGCTATAACGATTTGACCTTTATCCAAGTCTGATAAATCAGCTTCTTTTCTCATTATGTCGCTAATCGTGCTATGTTTGGAAAGGCAATGCATAGCCACTTTATATATTCCAACATCAGCTGCACACGCACAGTGGCTTTTGTTCTTCCCATTGTTATAGATGGAGGGCGATCATAATGTAATGGTTCTTCGGTGTATAATGGCATAACATATCCCTCATTTATTTAATTTTTTGAGAAAATTCATTTCTAAAATTCAAAAATATTCTGGTAACCTCAGCATTCTGGTTAGAGGAATTGCAGATAGTAGGGCTTTTACTGTATTATCAAAGTTGTAGCAGGGTTCATAGCCATATTTTAGTTAAAAAAAATAAGCACCTATAAGCACTTTTCAAGCACATTTTAAGAAAAAAATTAAGCACCTGTCTAATTACATTATACACAACTGCATAACCTTGTGTATAATGTAATTAGACAGGATTTAATATTTAAACATAAATTAGACTTGCAATTTAAAATATGAGCAATGCAATATTTATTAAGAGAATGAGCATTACCTCAAGCATGGAAAATAACTTTTTTTTTCTTTTTAATTTTAAATGACAGTTCAAGTTAAAGAATTAGTTTACAATGAGAGAAAAAAAAAACTATGCAAAACTAAACGATATTAGGAGATTTAATGATGAAATTTTAGTTCAAAATATAGAAAATAAATAATAATAAGCCATATTAATTGTATTCGTTTGGCACCTAATAATAAATACAATTTATTTTTCCACTCATATTAATATTTAAATAATTTAACTTAAATCAAAATTCTGAACATTTTCTAAATTTTCATTGCCTAACAGTTTTCCCTCAACATATATTCCAAGCAAAGTAATTTAAGTAAAAAAGAGGCACATTTCTGAAATCAGAAGACGGGAAATTGCTTCATGCAGTCATCCTTTAACAGTAAAAGCTTAACTAACCTGAATATTCCGAATAGTAACTGGAAAAAGAGGAGTGGGGGAGATTGTAGCCGTTCTTTAAATTTCTCGGCTAAATAAATGATTTTGATATTTCGATATGTGCATCATATAAAAATAGAAAAACGGAACTAAGAAATATTCTGCTTAGAAAGCACAGTAAAACTCTTAACAATGTAAGTATTCATAAAGAAATCTCAGACTGAAGATCAAAATTAATTATCGCTGCAAAATACCACAAACGTTATTGCGCAATATGTGCGCAAACATTATTGCGCAATACGTGCGGCGTAATTCCTCCACATGTGATATTACGCAATCGGAATCAACAGCTGCTGGCATTCGGAGAATAAAGAACTAAATAAAGGAAAAGAAAGAGACTTACTAATCTGGGGTGTTTCTGATTCTAATTTTCAACAGACTGCGGTAAATTTCCAGAATAGAATCAATTTTCGCTTGGGTTGGGTAGACCACGAAAACTTTTAGTCCTATTCAATCCAGATTGGACAGTGACAAAAAAAGGTCCGCTGCTACAATATTAGAGATTTTGGAGAGAAGGGGGAGAACCTCCCAACCTCCTATTGTATAATGTATTGGGGAAAAAAAAAAAAT